ACTTGCGGTCGGCGCCGGGGCCACAGGGGGTGGGGGGGAGGGGCCAGGGCAGGGTGGGCCGCGCTGGGCACTCGCGGTCGGTGCTGCGGCCACAGGAGGAGGGGGGGGGAGGTGCCAGGGCAGGGAGGGCTGTGCACCCCCAGTGCCAGGCAGTAACACCTGCCTTCCCACACCTGAAGCAGGATGGGACGAAGCTCGGTGCATCGGCAGTAGGCTCTCGTCCTGCAGCACTGCGAGGACACTCCTTGGCACTGTGTTGCTTGCCACATGCTGCGCAGCGTGCCTTATCCTTGCAATACTTAGCTACATGGCCGCTTCCTATGCAGTTGTAGCATATGACGGGATGCCCTCCACGGCCGCACGTGGCTGTGGGCATTTATTTCCGAAGAATTTGTATGTACTTGGAGGGGTTGCTCTCCTTTCCATACGATGCGGATTCGGTTTAATGGCTGGCCATCCTTGTACACTCGAATGGCCTTGTGGACTCCATCGAGTGTATATGCGTTGTCAAGGTCAAGGTCCTTGTTATAATGTGTGACGAGGTATTCGTCATATTTTTCCGATTTCTTTTCATCGCATGATTTGAAGGTAATACCTCCAATAAGTCCCCCGGTAAGGTTTTCTATATAGCTCTGCTGGGAGCGGGCAACATAGATATATGGCGAGGAGAGCGTGTCCCCTCTCACAAGGTCAATGGGTGTACCCGCAGGTTCGAAGAGGGGTTGCCAAGGTCCTGTAGCCATTTCATTTTTTTCTTTTTTCATGGTGCCTTCAGGGAAGGCGAGACGGACGTAGTCTTTCCTCGGTGCGAGTGGCGTCTTGCTGGTGTTAGTGGGCTCTCTTTTCTTTCTCTTTTTCTGGCCCACTAACGTGAAGCCGTCACCTCCTTGGTCGGCGTCGGCGTCACCCACCTGGGCATCACCATCATTTTGTGCCTCTTGCATGGCGATGGGTTCAGCGGTCTTGTCCACTGAATTACAGGCTGAAGCGCACTCTTCAGCCGTGGGAGGGGTGAGACAGCTATCCCGCGAGTCCTCCCCCTCAGTGTTTACTTTGCGGTTTTCCCCCATCGTGGGGGTGGTGACCGCGGCGCCTGGCGCGCCTAGCTCGCCCGCCTCGTGACAGGTGAATTATGGCGCTCGGGACAACGGGGCACTCAGTTCCAACGGTCACTAACACAGTACTTGGCACTCGGCGGAGGAATTAATTCAATTGAATTTAAAACATAACCATGTTTACATCACTACTGTCATGACGTTTCAGTTGCGAGGTATATGCGCACCTAAAGGTTCATGAACAATTTCCTCGTACATGACACCAGAGATCCATGTGTAAGGGGCACCGGAGCAGGGCACCACACGACCTCTTCGTGTGAGGTCACGGAGTGTACTGACGGAAGTGTTGTTATGAAAGGTAAGTGTTTCACCCCGTAGACTTACCAGGTTTGGGACCCTCGCTTCAAAAACACGTGCACGCAGCGCCTTCTGTCGCTTCCCGGCCTGCGAGAGTGATATTCGCTGGCATGGAGAACGATCATATTTCAGACCAATATCATATGTTGTAAAATCCAGTAGAGCAACAATAAAGGGAAATAATAGATAATTATATATATATAATTATTACATACATGATTTGTTATGCATACCCTCCCAATACCTTGCTCATTGTTGTCGTGGAGACAGACTGGAGCCCAATGTAGGGATTACCCTTACCTTAGAGTTCAGCCCTCGCCTCAGTTAATTTTTCTTGGTCTTTTCTTTTCCTTTACTCTTCCATATCTTCTTCCCCTTCTATCCCATTCCTAAGGTGTGAGCCGTGCTGAAAGGATGAAAGGCTGGCTGTATGTTAGTCATGAACGGCCTTAGGGTGCCATGGGCATAGTATTCCCTTGAGGGGAAGACTGTTTCTTTTCCCCATTTTATTCAGGCTCACCACGGTCAATAATGAAGATTCTTTACCCTTGATAGGGGCATCAACTAACCTCTCTGATTCCGATTTTGATGGATTTCCGACCCCTGCTCCTTTGACCACGTCTTCGACCACTGATACTAATACCATATCCTTTACGTTTACTGACAACTCTATCCAGTCTGAACCACCCATCCATGTTATTACTCCACCTCCAGAATGCACCCCTTCCTCTCTCCCACTTCTCTTTACTGTACAGTGTTCTTCAATGTCTAGCTTGTCTTCCCTCATTACTACTCTACACTGCACACCACTCCATCTTCCTCCCACCAACGTACTTCTGCAGTCTCTACCTCAGCAAACCTCTTGATTACTATCTTTGGCCCAGTCAAGTGGGATCGATTCTATGTGATTCCTCACACAGCCCACTACTCTGTAAATAACCTTCTCTGTCAACAGTGCACCCCTAAAACAAGAAGGCAAAGTTACCTTTCGCAGTCACTCCAATCTTTCACGCCTAGTCACAGTTACATCAGAATCCCAAGCTCAAGCACTATCTACCCTGACCTTACTGGCAAACCAATTCCTGACGAACCTCACATCTCTCTTAATACTTGAACTAGAACCATTTTTATCCCCCAAACTGATTGCCCCATATATGACAAAAACTAGTCAGATTGTGAAAATGATTCACTATTCTCCCAGAGGCCAGCATAAGTCCCATGTCAGTATTGCCAAGATTAGCTTATGTAGACATGTTTATTTTGGTGAATTGTCCTGACAATGTCAGAAATGTTGGCGTTTGGGTCAACCATTGTCACTGCACAGCCCACTACCCTCTATGTTCCCAACCTGGCCATGGCCGTTCAAATTGCCCTGCTCAGTCAAGTACATGTGCCAATTATGGTGACTCCCATAACGTATTTTATAGGAGCTGCCCTGCTTGTAACCTCGAATGTGAGTTAGCAGTTCTCAGATTCAAATTAAGCCTCACTCTACATGAAGCTAGACAGGAAGCATAACGATGAGGTTTTTCCTTCTACCTATTTCAAAACAGTCCACTCTGCACACCCTCCCCCATTTCTACAAGATGTTTCTGCATCTTCTCCAGTATCTATTTCGTCTATCCTGAACCATCCCACCTCTACTCTCCCTATCCCCCAGTCAAATCCCCTTTCCTTTGTAAATCCAGATACCCCAATCTCTACTACACTTATATTTACCCTTCCTCCCCCTCACTTTATGTGTCACAAAAGACAACCTAAACGTTCTACTTCATCTTCACTTTCCACACCCTCTTCTTCCACTGCTCCTCGAACATCTATTCCCTCTTCTCCTCACAAGAGATACTTTGCTTCTCTGACCTCCTACCTAAATCCTCTCCAGAAACTCTTGAAGACATCCAAAAATCGTAGACATGATCTAAGAAAATGTTTTGCTCCCTCATCCACCCTCCAATTCCTCTATTCCTAGTCCCTCTACATTCAAAGTATTTGCCGATATCCATCCTCCTCCCTACACAAGTTCCCCTACCCCTCATCCTCCTACTGTTTCCAAAAAAACCAATCCTCTCCTTTTCGATCTCCACTATCCTTACCTCTTCCACCTGGATACTCATGCAAATCCCCTCCCCTCCTGACGCTCTTCCTGATACTTCACCTTCTTCCACAGTCCCCTTATCTCATCCCATAGACTATTCTCCTGCTACTTCTCTAACGGCCATCACTACCCGTATTACCTGCTGATTATTTCATAACAGCTTTTACGTTTTCCTTAAAGTAATGTTACAATAGCCTCCCCAACAACAAATGCACACCGTTCCATCCAATCACCCTATACCCTTAACCCTTTCCTTTATTAATGTCCGATTTACATCATTTACACCCTTCTTTACCCTTTTCCCTATCTTACTCTCCTATAACACTATAACTTTGATATTTTACACCTTTCACTAATCGTTAACTCATTTGCTATATTACCTTAGATGTCTAGCACATTTACTTGCTTCAACCTTTAACATTAACATTATATTTTTTTTTAAATGGAGAGGAAAATGATCGCTATATATATGTACTCTTGACTATTACTAGTAAAAACATTTTGGGCGATTTAGAAAAATCGACCTCAGGGATCTCACTAAGGTTTAAATAATAGAGTATGAGTTTCATCAAGCTTAACCATCTCATTCACGGGATTCAAGCAGATCCTTAGGCTTTGAATCAATCCCGAAGCTTCGTGTTTCATGTAATATCACATTTCCATACACATTAAACGATAGACATTATACAGCAAGGGTCCCCAAACTTTTTCCTGTGAGGGCCACATAACTTTTCCCTTCTCTGATGAGGGGCCGGGGTCAGTTTGTAACAGAAAAGGTGTGGCGATTGCAGGAGTGCCTAAATGTAAAAAATTATCGTTTTCCAGAAAGCCACAATCAAATAACCCTTTCTGGATTCTTCACAGAACAAAAGTCAGAAAATGAATAATAACACTATTAATGAAATAAATAATAACCAATGGGTTCTTCACAGAAAAAAGCCAGGAAATAAATAACACTATTTAAGAAATAAATAATAACCAAATAACCCTCTCTGGGTTCTTCACAGAAAAAAGCCAGGAAATGAATAACTATTTATGAAATAAATAATAACCAAATAACACTCTCTGGGTTCTTCACAGAAAAAAAGTCCATGGAACATAAACTTTCTGTTGTGCCGTGCACAGTCTTAACAGGTCCAAGTTCAGCTTAGTTGTCAGAGCAGAATCTCTTACTTAAATGACTCATATGAGCAGTCTCTCAAAGTTCTTGTGTTCCTTCCTTATAATCCTTTTGTAGGTTCCAGTAGGCTTGTAGACATCGCTGTTTGCAGCTCTCTCTCTCTCTCTCTCATCAACTTCCCTGTGAAAACCACAAAGCAAGCAGGCTGAGAAACTGAACGAAGTGATACAGCACCTACACAGCACAACCAGTACCACTACCGGTATGGTTGTGGAGATGGATTTTATCCCAGTAGATTTTATTATGATAATATTTGTTTATACTCAGAATGACTCATTCAAGTCAGAAAAGTGAGCTTACCTTTGTATGTTCATCAGTGTGAACTGTGGGCCTGCATCTGGCTGGTGAGAAGTTGAATGTCAGGTTCCATTTTAGTCACTGCCAGTCTCAAACACTGATGCAGATGTTCATCTGTCAGTCTTGATCTCATTGGAGTTTTCAGCAGTTTCATGCGTGAAAAGGTTTGCTCGCAGATATACGTGCTGCCAAAAAGTGTTGACATCTTCATTGCGTGTTTTCTGATGTTAGGGTACGTGTCGTTTGGGAGGGCGGCATAGAAGTCAATGAGACTGTTGGGCTTGAATGCGTCTTTCAGAACATCACAGTCCTGTAACTCGGCCAACTCAAACTGATAAGAAGGCTGGGCTTCATCAATGTCAGCAACAAATGGGTTCTGGAAAAGATGGATTTCTTTTGCATAAACATGTAGTTCACGGAATCGCACACCGAACTCCGCCTTCAGCATTTCCAGTGCTTCCACACACTTTTCAGCTGGAAACGAGACCGCTGGGTTCTCTGCAGAGAGGTTTTGTGTAGCAGGGAGATGGATGAAGCTGTGCTTTTTCACTTGTCCCAAAAGCAGCTCTAGTTTCACCTCAAATGCTTTTGTGTGGGAATAAATGTCGCAAATGAGTTTCCCCTGGCCTTGTAGTTGCAAGTTAAAGCTGTTCAGCATTTCTGTCATGTCTGTTAAAAATGCGAGGTGCCATTTCCATTCTGGGTCAATCAGCTCTGGCACCGTTTTGTTTTGTGAATGAAGAAATGCGTTAATTTCAAGTAGCAGCTCGTAAAAACGCCTCAAAACTCTGCCCCGGCTCAACCATCGGACCTCTGTGTAGTACAGCACATCTCTGTGCGCAGATTCCGGTTCAGACAGGAATTCTTGGAACTGCCTGTGTTTAAGTCCCTTTGCTCTGATGAAGTTTATGCATGACACCACAACCTTCATGACAGAATCCCACGTCAACACTTTGCAGCACAGTGCTTGCTGGTGAATTAGGCAGTGGACCCCGAGACATGCCCACCATACTAGAAGCCCCATCAGTTGTGATGCTGGCCAGCTTTGACCAGTCCAGGTCCAACTCTTCCATGGTTTGGTACACTTTGCCGAAAATATCCTCCCCCGTCGTAGTCCCTTTCAGACTTTGGAGGGCTGCCAGCTCCTCGCACATCTCAAAGTTTGCACTAATTCCACGAATAAAAATGAGCAGCTGCGCGGTGTCCTGCACGTCTGTGCTCTCATCCAGAGCTAATAAAAAAAACTAATAAAATTCTTTCGTCTTCTGCTGCAGCTGGGCATATACATTACCCCCGATTTCTTCAATGCGTCTGGTGATTGTACTCGCTGATAGACTCACGGCATTAAAGACATCTTTCTTCTCGGGACACACCTCCTCCGTGACAGCGTTCATGCATTTCTTGACAAACTCTCCATCAGTGTAAGGTTTACCGCTGCTTGCTATCAGTTAGCAACCCGAAAGCTGGCCCGAACAGATGACTGCTTCAGCTGAGATTGGCATACAAATGTATTCTGCTGAGCTAACAGTCCACTTTTTAGCTTTGAGAGTTTGTCTGCTCGCATTTGGCCTTGCAAGCTATCATACTTGTCTTTGTGACGGGATTCATAGTGTCGCCGCAGATTGTATTCTTTGAATACCGCCACCGCCTCTTGACAGATGAGACAGACAGCCTTTTCTTTGCATTGAACAAAAAATAATCGTTTGTCCATTGCAGGTTAAATGCCCTGCATTCTCAATCAATTTTTCTTTTACCTAATCTTTTCGCCATCATTCCGCTCTCTCTTTGAGAGGGGCGGGTTTAGGATTTTTTTTCTGGGGGTTGCCAGATAGGGGCACAGACTGCAGAAGGGTGGAGCAGAATGTCACGTTATATGCGTGTATAAAATAGTTACTAACTAATAGTTAATAATGAAAATAGTTCATAACTAAGGAACGTTTTATTGCAAAAGTCCAATTTTATTATCAAATACAAATACACATAAATAAAAAAAATCTAAATGCTTTCTGGTATTGTTCAGGGGGCCGGACCAAATGTGGAGGCGGGCCGTAGTTTGGGGACCACTGTTATACAATATGATATTAAATTTCTCTCTTTTTCTCTCTATCCCTCTTTACTCTCTTTCTCTTTCTTTTTCTCATTTTTTCTCTCACTCCATTTATCTCTCCCTCCCCGTCTTTCTCTCAAATTCTCTCTCTTCCGCCCCCCCCCCCTCTCTCTCTCTCTCAAACTCTTTTTCTCCCATCCTCCTTCGCCCCTCTCTCTTTCTTTTTCTCTTTCTCTCTAGATCTAGATATCTATCTCCTCTTTCTCTTGGTCATAAGGGAATGGCTCTTTGATATCCTGTTTAATGTTTGAAGTTTCATGAACGCACCTGTCAGTTGTAAGTCTGAATGTTGATACTGTGGAGTACAAAATCATTCAAATATCCGTGGATGATTAAAAAAATAAATAAATAAATAAAAAATATAAAAAATATAAAATCAGGTGGTCCTTGATTTCAGTGTATCAACCTTCCAAATCAAATATTCACATTTTGATTTTGGTATTTTCTTACAATAAAAATAGGCGATGATATATCGGCGATACTTGTATTGGTATCCACATCGCTTTAAATGTCTTAGAAGAATCGATGCATCGGAATCGTTTAGCCATTTTTCAAGTATTGGTGTGTGGTATTGCCTTTGGCAATTTTGTGCATCGATGCTCATGACTACCCTAACTTACTAATCGTGGATTCTTCTTGGATAAGTCACAGACGGATAGCGACTGCTAGGGGAAAGGGTGGACACATTAGCGCTATCTTAACCCGTGAATGATTGTTAACCTATCAGACCCTTCTTGAGGCATGGGGTTGTTGTGGGTGACGTACGGGAATCTTTTGAAATGTTCGATCGTTCAGCCATGGCACTGGACTTGACTGCCACACAAACAATCTTTGGACAAAAAAATGTGTATTACCTATCATATCAGCACTTCACCTAGTAATTATCTTGGTGTAATTTTTAAACGTGTGTGTGTGTGATGGGTATATAGAGATATATATTTGGTGTTATTGGAAATGAAACCCCACAGCTTATTTAAAGAATTCAGCTGAGCTTACTATGTGGTAGAACACACAGCGCCGCGACAAAATGACAAAAAGTCGTTAAGAGTGACGGGAAATCGGACGGTTTTGTAGCGGATGACTTATGCGAGGGAAATCAAATGAGCTAATTAGGTACGTGCGTGAACATAGACACGAGAATCAATCAGATATGGAATAGATCATCAACTGACAATAGAAGCTGGGTCTAGGAGAAGGCAGTTGAAATTCAAATCAGTTCCATCATGGCTAGACAGTGTATAGGTTGTAAGAAAAATTATTTCGATTTCACAGCGAAATATCAACAAAATAATGAATCCTTGACACTGCCAGTTTTGCTCTATGGAAGTGAAACCTGGACACGGTCTAGTATCTTGGAGTCACATCTCAATGCCTTTTGTAACAAATCCCTTTACCAGATCATGGGTTATAGTTGACAGGGTCAAGTGTCCAACCAGCGGTTACATCATGAGACTGGCCTGTTACTTGCATAAACCGTGACCACCAACTTAGGCTACAAGAGCACTCGTTTCTCAGTGGATGGCCCTGCCCATCTTCAAAAGACAATCCTGTGTGGAGGAGGCCCATGCAACGACCTAGAAAGTCGTGGCTTGGGCAGATAGATCAAACGTGCCACGAGGAGCTTGAGATGGGCCGAGGGTCTGCCTGGCGGCTTGCCATGAGAGACCCCCATGGCTGGAAGCGAAGGCATCAGCCCCATTAATTGACTGATGTCTGTGGCTATGGCATTAAAGTTGCACAGTTTTACATAGTATAGCTCAGGACATTGGGCTCTCAGACCAAGAAATCACTGGACAAACTTTGCCTAGTGGTAGGAGCCGTGAAGTATATGATGGTAAAACGTAGATTGCTGTTACACAACTGAATACAGTGTCATTAAGTGCTGATTTTTTTTTTCTTTTATCTTTACAGCGGTTGGTGGTCGACAAGTCATCGATTGCTGATGTCTTCAAGTGGTACACAGTGGAAGTGTATTTCATGTAAGTCAGCAAGTAAACATAAACTCCAGCAAAGTTACACAAACTGATTTTGTATGCAGCTTATTTCCTTCACTGTTGTATCCCACACTGAATCTGGTGATTTGCTTTGCAGGAACGAAAAAAGAAGAAAGTGATTTTTCAAATGGCTGAAAAATCTTCACAAACTCATGATTGTAGAGGAAAATACCATCCTAACCCAGATAAAAAGAATCAAAATGAAAGGAAGTCTCATTGCTGCAAAATATGTAGCAAGACATTTACCAAAAAAAGTAGTCTTACGTGTCATATGAGGTTGCACACAGGTGAGAAACCATACAAATGTGTAGAATGTGAACTTGAATTTACTCACAAAAGTACCTTGCTACACCACATGAGACTCCACACAGGTGAAAAACCATATGTATGTGGAATATGTGATAAAAGGTTTCGACAACGGTCAAATTATACATTACATGGAAAAGTACATACAAAAGAAAAACCTTATAAATGCATCGACTGTGGTAAACAATTTGCTCAAAGAGTTCATCTTACAACACATGTCCGCCTCCACACAGGAGAAAAGCCTTATACTTGTGATGAGTGTGATCAGAAATTCTTTCAGAGATCTCACCTGACCCGACACATTAAAAATCACAAGAAAAACCAAACGAAAGGCTGTGAGGACGTCAGCAGGTCAGATACTCAGAAAATGCAAAGTTCAGCTCTTTCAAGAAATGCGAAACCAAGACAATTATTTGTGAGTGATAGAGATTCAAATGAACATTCTGTGATAGATATCAATCGACGTCTACATTATGAAAGGCAGAATAGGTTCACTCTCATGTGTGAACATTGCAAAAAAATATTCATCAAGAAGTCACACCTACGAAATCACATGTTCATCCATACAGGTGAAAAACCTTTCAGTTGCACCTACTGTGGTAAGAGGTTTGCAGAGAAAAGTAGTGTTACACGCCATCAGAAGGTACACAAGGGAAAAAAGGGGTGTAGTGAATTTTCTCAACATATTTCGGGGCATTCCATCTTTACATTTTCTTCAGATACTCAAAGGCCAGCGCGAAGTACATCTTCTTTAAAGACAGGAAAATCAAAAATAATATCCCTCGATTGTGCAGATGAAAATTTCGAAATAGAATCAAAATGCACAATGAAAATACCTACACCAATTCAAGAAGATAAATACACATCTGATGTACCATGTTTTTCTAAAGTTGGGCCTAAAGAATATGGATTGAAAGGTGATGTAATTAATTTATATCCAACAAAAAAACATACTAATACAAATAATCAGATGACACATTACTTAACCGCGGACATAGAAAACACACAATCAAAACCCATTTTAGATAAAATTATTCATGGAGATCCTACAACTGGATACCGCAGTCACTGCGACAACCATTTTGAATTACTGGCCAGTGTGAGCAAGTTAAAGGTTTCATTGGATTATGACATCAATTGTCAATCGGACTCCTTGTTCACAATCAAATCTAATGAGTCATCAACAAAAGAAGTAAAAGAGGAAACCATAGTGGATGAAGAGACATTCAAGGAAGAAATAGATATCTTTCAAGAAGATTTAGATGTGTAAACCACGCCACTTTCGTCACATCTGTTACAAAAAATAAAAGTATCTAATAATGCCAAAATCCTATGGCCATATTGACAATATCTGTTGCCACAACAAGGGCCATGTTTTTCCTTATTATTATTATTATTTGTAATTATTCTGTATTTTTTCTTTTTCTTTTTTTCTTTTTTAGCGGCTGTTGAAAATAATTATATCAACACCGTTACTGAGAATCATGTTCTGGGAAGTCTTTTAACTGTAGGCTCAAGAGTAGTTACCCTAGGAATAAGGCCGGATAAGGAAACTGAAATTGTTGGTGGATAGTATACATTTATCTCCATTTTTTCACAAAACTCGTCCATCAACATATTTCAGGCTGTCTTCTTCTAGATCTCTTTTTTCCCAAAATTTTATTGTTTGGCAGATTGTTCCCATTTTTACTTTCATTGATCCTCGTTTTCTTCCTATTCTTACTTCCATTAATCCTCGTTTTCTTCCCATTGTTACTTCCATTAATCTTCGTTTTCTTCCCATTGTTACTTCCATTAATCCTCGTTTTCTTCCCATTCTTACTTCCATTAATCCTCGTTTTGTTCTTATTCTTACTTCGTTTTGTGTTTTGTTCTTATTGTTTTGTTTTATTCTTATTCCTTAATTTTTACTTCCATTAATCCTCGTTTTGTTCTTATTAATCTCGTTTTCTTCCCATTCGTTTTTTTCTTACTTCATTAATCCTCGTTTTGTTCTTATTCTTACTTCCATTAATCCTCGTTTTCTTCCCATTCTTACTTCCATTAATCCTCGTTTTCTTGCCTACTTCCATTAATCCTCGTTTTGTTCCCATTCTTACTTCCATTAATCTTCGTTTTCTTCCCATTCTTACTTCCATTAATCCTCGTTTTGTTCTTATTCTTACTTCCATTAATCCTCGTTTTCTTCCCATTCTTACTTCCATTAATCTTATTTTATTTTTACTTCCATTAATCCTCGTTTTGTTCCCAATTTTTCTTCCATTAATCCTCGTTTTCTTCCCATTCTTACTTCCTTTAATCTTTTTTTTTTGTTCCCATTTTTACTTCCATTAATCCTCGTTTTGTTCCCATTCTTACTTCCATTAATCCTCGTTTTGTTCTTATTCTTACTTCCATTAATCCTCGTTTTGTTCCCATTCTTACTTCCATTAATTCTCGTTTTGTTCTTATTCTTACTTCCATTAATCCTCGTTTTCTTTCCATTCTTACTTCCATTCATCCTTATTTTGTTCCCATTTTACTTCCATTAATCCTCGTTTTGCCATTCCATTAATCCTCTTTTTCTTCCCATTCTTACTTCCATTAATCCTCGTTTTGTTCTTATTCTTACTTCCATTAATCCTCGTTTTGTTCCCATTCTTACTTCCATTAATCCTCGTTTTCTTCCCATTCGTACTTCCATTAATATTCTTACTTCATTAATCCTCTTTTTCTTCCCATTCTTACTTCCATTAATCCTCGTTTTGTTCTTATTCTTACTTCAATAATCCTCGTTTTGTTCCCATTCTTACTTCCATTAATCCTCGTTTTCTTCCCATTCTTACTTCCATTAATCCTCGTTTTGTTCTTATTCTTACTTCCCTCGTTTTGTTCCCATTCTTACTTCCATTAATCCTCGTTTTCTTCCCATTCTTACTTCCATTAATCCTCGTTTTCTTCCCATTCTTACTTCCATTAATCCTCGTTTTCTTCCCATTCTTCTTCTTACTTCCATTAATCCTCTTTTTCTCCATTTTACTTCCATTAATCGTTTTGTTCTTATTCTTACTTCAATAATCCTCGTTTTGTTCCCATTCTTACTTCCATTGATCCTCGTTTTCTTCCCATTCTTACTTCCATTAATCCTCGTTTTCTTCCCATTCTTACTTCCATTAATCCTCGTTTTGTTCTTATTCTTACTTCAATAATCCTCGTTTTGTTCCCATTCTTACTTCCATTAATCCTCGTTTTCTTCCCATTCTTACTTCCATTAATCCTTATTTTGTTCCCATTCTTACTTCCATTAATCCTCGTTTTGTTCCCATTCTTACTTCCATTAATCCTCGTTTTCTTCCCATTCTTACTTCCATTAATCCATATTTTGTTCCCATTTTTACTTCCATTAATCCTCGTTTTCTTCCCATTCTTACTTCCATTAATCCTCGTTTTCTTCCCATTCTTACTTCCATTAATCCTTTTGTTCCCATTCTTACTTCCATTAATCCTCGTTTTGGTCCCATTCTTACTTCCATTAATCTCGTTTATTTTTACTGGTTGTCCCCATTCTTACTGACATTAATCCTCGTTTTGTTCCCATTCTTATTTCCATTAATCCTCGTTTTGATCACGTTCTTACATCCTTAAATTAATCCTCGTTTTATTCCCATTCTTACTTCCATTGACCCTTGCTTTGTTGTCGTTCTTACTTCCATTAATACTCGTTTTATTCTCATTCTTATCCATAGCCACATTTATTCAACTTCTAGTTTCTTTTGCATCTCTTTGTTATTGGTAACTTAATGTTGGTTACCAAGTGTTTTACACTTTTTTTTTCTTTTTTTGATATCTCACATTGTACTTCTTTACCAATTTCTCATCCCATCTTATCAGGGTACCTTGATCGTTAAACTGGTTTTGATAATCTTGTTTGTATCTGTATGTTGAATCTTGGGCTTTTGTTTTTTGTTCGTGATTACCATAATCACTGTATCTTTTTGTTAACTGTTAGCCCTCTTCTTTTACTTGCTTCTGTTAATACTATCACTAGTTTTTGGAATTGATTTCTCTACCAACAGCATGGTGCCATTGAGGTTTCTTCCAGCTACTGACACACCCTTTAGGTGACTGATATCCCTCATAATTATTTCACTATACTAATTAAATAAATCGGGTGACACCACACACCATTGCCTTACTCCTCTTTCTATTTTCTGCCAACCTGATGTTTCATCTTTTACTGTTTCTTCTTGTTTCCAATATTGGTTTCGTATAAATCTTACATCCGGTCCATCTACTCCTATTCTAATAAGCATATATATGTACATCTTTTTGTACCTCGATTTTGTTATTTGCTGATCTTCATATCACGAAGATGGCATCTCAAGTACCTTTACTTCTTGTAAACCACATTGCTCTACTGCAATTCCGGGTCTAATTTTGTTTCTTATTCTGTAGGTAACAACCTCCTGTACTGTAGCTCGTGTTGGTTATCTCTGTTATAATTTGATACGCAATTCTTCTAGTGCCTTCTGCATTTCTGTTGCAATTCCGTCCTCGACCTTTGCTTTGCCTTTTTTCTTAATTTTTAATACTGCTTCTGGTTCTTCTTTCGTAATGTCTGGCCCCTCATAATAATGAATGTCTCCAGGTTCTTATCTTTTACTTGCAAATAATTCGTTTAGTTCTATGGCTACTTTACCAATTTTCTTCCATTGCCATATTCTTTTACGGTTGATTACTCCTACTTTCTCGTACAGCGTCTGGGTAACCTTATTTAGATGGTCAATTTCTGTGCATATTTCTTTCATTCATTCTTCATTTATTTACCCATGGTTCATTTTTCTTTGGTTGATATTACGTCTGTTCCTTTTTTTAATGATGTCCACTGCCACTGTATTGTCCTTATGTCGTTCACTTTTAATGCCATCTGACCACAATGTTCAACTTTTCTTTCTTCAATCTCAAGTTCATTTTGTTGAAGCTTCTCGCTTTCTAATTCTTTTTCTAGATCGTTTGATTTTTATTTTCACAGCTACTACTACTGGCATGATCTGAGTGTCCAAAATTTGTTTTCATCTGTTAGACGTGGATGGCGTTTAAACTATATGTACATGATGATTTGCCCGTTTTCTGCACACCATGCTATCCATCTTGTGCCTCTTTCATCCACACTGTCCAACAATGTCCCCAAAACTTCCTCCGCATACCTTTGCATATCCTTCCTCTTTGCACTGTCGTTTTGCTTGTTACTTCTCCATATAATCTGTTGTACTACCATTTGTTGGAACATATGTCTGCATATATATTGAATATTATTCTCAATTTAACTGATATGGCTCTATCTGATATTGCCCAATAGCCCATGATGCATCTGGATACGGTCTTTAAATTAACATGAGTATGCCACTCCCCTTGAAGCTTTCGGATTTCTCCTAGGCCTAGTATGTCAAGGTTCATTCTTTCTCTATCAATGCGTGCTAGTTTTCCCGCTTGGTATAGAGTTCCATGTGGCGATCCATAGATTGTTTTGCCTGATTATTATTCAAATATCGTATACAATGGATAAAAGGAAAAATCGTAAATTCATTTTTTTTTTTTCATTTTCCGGTAAGCACGTAGATAAAATGATAATGACAATAATTATAATAATTATTATTATAATTATGATGACGGCAATTTTGATAATTATAATGATTATTATTACAATTATGGTGATAGTAATTTGATAAATATAAAATGATTATAATAATAACTATAATAACGATAACTACAATAATTATAACAATGATGATAATAATAATAATGGTAAGATAATAATAATAATGGTAAGATAATAATAATAATGATGATGATAATGATGATAACGTTTTACTTGGAATAAACTTTGTACCTTAAACAACACATATTTGTGGATCTGGTGCGTTGAAAGTTGAGTGAAACGGAGTACACAGTAAAGAAATTAAATATAACTAGCCACATTTCATTTGTTAATTAGCGTATTTAATAACATGTGTCATTCAGGTAATCAATGCGGTTGGGCATGATAATTATCTATGTATGTAATATTTTGAAGTACATAATTATGTAAAATAAATGAATTTCACTCGTTTACCTTTTGAATTAAAAGAAGAAGAAGAAATAAAAAAAAACACTCAAGGGCCTGATTTGACCCGTGGTTATTTTTTCGCGTGTCGACCAGTTCAAGGCTCCTCCAGGCCCCACCAAGAGGCTTAAATCGAAGAATGGAAATGAAAATTAGAACGGTTGCAAGTCACCATGTTCAATGTTTTACCTTTATTTTTTCGTTTGATAAGCTATTTTTTTCAGTCTCACATGAATTGTAAATCCAATCTAAACATTACAACTGACCCTTGAATTCAGAATTAACGCCGATCACTACTCTAGAGTATTGAACAATACTGCATTC